TTATATAGGAATGGATCGGCTTTTTAATGTAATAAAGCATCCAGCAAACACTGCAGTTGACAAGTACTCACGTTTATGGCAATAAGTTCAGTCTAACGATCGAAGAAATATCCAGTTATAAATAAAGAAAACTCAAGCAGCATGAGGCAAAATTTCTTCTATGTGGAGACTTCATAGATCATGCGTCGTCTCAGTGGAATTTCCACTTACCGCAATTCCTTATCCATAAATGCTATTGATTTAAATTTCCACAACTTTAATTTATTCAATAGAATGTTTGTAGAATGAAATCTAATGATACCTGGCATGATTGTATGGTGCCTGTCTTTAATGAATAATAATGTTGTTGGTTAGTTTGTTTAAGGTTTTGTTTCGAAAATTTTTCTTATTATTTCTAAAACAATTTTTTTAGAATAAAAATTTTACATAAAACACTTGATTAAGAAAATCAATGCTGATTATCTGATGAGTGTTTTGAGAATTTTTACTAAATTTATCAAAATATTATTATTAAAAGTTATAAAAATAATATATTCTTCACGTGAAGGGAACATAGACCTTTACTTAAATTTAAAGAGAGCTTATATCTATAGTCTTATCTCATGTTTGTGATGATGATCACCACCTGTTGGTTTTTTTTTATTTATTTTATTTATTTATTTTATTTTTGCTTTTTTTTATGATCACCGCATATAGTTGTTGCCTCCTAATCGTCGTAATTTGACCACCATCCCTTGACCATCATTATCCAATAACTTTCATTAGAAATTACTATCGTTGCCCAACCGCTATGATATGATCATTGTTGCATGACATCGTCTGATCATTGTTGCATAACTGCCAATAACATCGATACACACCATCACAAATAATGACAAAACACTGGCACTGTACAGCTTTGTCGTTCACAATCGCCAATGATGCTGATGCACGCCATCACGTATATGACAATTGAAAACCATTGACACAAATGCCAACATAAGCTGACTAATTCACCTGTCTAACATCGACGCATGCTATCATATAATGTCAATACACAACGTCGACTTGAATATCAATGCCATCAAATTCGTCGTTTGCCTTCCCCAAAATCATCAATGCATCATATCACCTATGAAACTACTGCACATTGTTAAGGTCAACACCATTGCCAGCCGACTTCATCACTATCATCTCAAATTGTGTCGACGCATGTTATTGTCAAAAAGGTCGATGCATACCGTCGACATCAGCTACAACCCTTTTATGTCAACATTAAGTTCTATATTAGACATCTTAGTGTCTAGTCAACTCTCCTCATAGGAGAATGACCGAATAGACTATAAATGCTCTCGTAAAGATTATGACAATATTCCAAAGCTCCTCCAAGTTCCACCATGAAATCCACACATCTTAATTAATTTCTACTTCATTGTGCCAACGGTACTTTCTCACATAGCGAGGAAGTGCATCATTTGTAGCACACACACTTGTGGAGTCAATTTTATCGGGTCATGCCTTATAATTTTTTCCTTTCTAGGTTTTCATATTATAAACTTATATCTCATATGAGCTACTATCAACTTATTTTGTGCCTGCAAAATATTAATAGATTTATTTATAAGAAGATTAATTTTCTATACTCCTGATTTTTTTTGCACATAACAAAGATAATTTTAATCAAAATTTTGTCCAAGGATTGCTGTGTAGCCAAGGAAGATTGTTAGGATTTAAAAGTGCAAGGAATTTTAATTGGCTTGGGTTTAAATATATAGATTGTTGATGATATATTTCATGCTTTTAGATAATTTTTATTGATGAAATAGGAGTAAATTAAATTAGGCTTTTGAAAGGTTTTATATATGACCCTCCTTCATTGCTATATTTTCCTCCTATTATATGGGATGATTAAATCATCACAAATAATGATTAAACTCAATTTATATATAATTCTTATATTGTAAATCATACACAATGATATCATCGTAATTTTGAAGATTATGGGTCTCGTTGGAAACTTGGAATGGATACAATTTTTTATAAAGGTGATTATAAAGTTGTTGTGAAGAAAAAAAAATTAAAAGATGTTGCAGAAAGTAGCTTCTAGAACAAAAATTTCTTAAAAGCGATAAAATTGTTGTTGCAGAGTCTAAAAAGCAAAATAAAAAGAAAGCGGACCCAAATTAAAGTTTTGTTTCGGACAACTTTCTTAATGTTTACTAAAACAACTTTTTAGTAAAAAATTTATTAAAGTCGACAAAAATAACAATGAGCAAAGGCTATCCCAAACAAAGCCTAAGCCTATATCAAGTGGTAACTGTAAATGTTTAATTAGAAGGATAATCAAAGTGAACTTGTCAACTCTTGGGATGCCATTCAATTTTGCATCTTGTGACCATAAAAAGGTGGAAATAATTTATTTTCTTTACCATTATTAACACTAATGGCATACACAATTCAATAATGTTTGAGATTGTTTGATCAATCTACTTTTAATTTTTTTTTTTTAATTGATTGCTTTAATTGCATAAGAAGATAGTTGTGATTTCTAAGAGCAAGACTTTCAAATGACTTGGAATAACTTAAATGCATCAATTATTGATATATCTTATATATAATAGATAATTTTGATGGATGATATATGAATAAAATTGGCCTTTTAAAATGACCTTTATGTTTTGTTTGATCGTCTATGTCTTATTCACATTCTTGATGAATGATTAAGGTTTTGTTTGGGTCGACTTTTATATTGTTTTTTAAAACATAATTTTTGTTCTAAAACTCTGTTTTAAAAAGCAATATAAAAGTGGACCTAGACTTCGTTTGGAATTGATTTTTATTGCTTCTTAAAGAAGCTTTTTAGTACAAAAAATTTTAATTTTTGTACTAAAAAGATGTTTTAAGAAGCAGTAAGAAAGTCATCCCAAACAAATCCGTAGACTTCAATTGGGACGGCTTTCTTATAGCTTTTCAAAATAACTTTTTAGTAATTTTTTTTAAAGCAACAAAAAAGCAGTGGCCATACATCTATAAAATAATTAAAAATTGGGGCATACGTAATTTATTTATTTTTGAGATTATTCGATCTTCCAACAAATATATAATAAAAATGTCTCATTCGCTTGAAAGGAAATTTACGACTTTCGTAAATCTGGGCCATACAAATTATTTTGATGAATCTAATAATTGTCTTATCGATGATATCAGTGATAAGAAGGTTTTTGTTTTCTTTTAGAAGTTCAATAGAGAAAAATAAAATATTTTTATGTGTAAAAATTAAAAATTTAGAAAACTACTGCAATATATGTCCTTTAGCTTGGACATAGAGCGAAAATAAATGCATAAAACTCCATTTTAGTAAAGCAATAATGAAAGAGAAGAGACCTCAAGTTGATGGGGCAATTAAAATACCAAGAATTAGGGTAAGTTTCGAAAAGCTTTCTCATTATTTTACTTTTCAAACATCAATAACAATGCTATAACTCTCTTGCTAATTTCTCAATGCCCTTCAAAAATTCTATGTTGAAAGGCCCGTTGTTATAACCAGAGCAGCTAAGGCTTCATTTGGAACATCTTTTGACCGTTATTTTTTCATTGCACTCAAAAAATTCTTTTACTAAAAAATTACTTTTAAAAATAGTAAGAAAATTGTCCCAAACGAACCTAGGACGTTGTTTGGGAAAGTTTTCTTACCGCTTTGCCTTTCAAACTGCAACCACAATTTTTATTTGACTGCCATTTTAAAAAAAAAATTGTGTTAAGAAGTTAATTTCTACTGTAGCATCCAAAAAACTACTTTCTTCATAACAGCTCTATGACCACATTTACTAAAAAATGCAATCATTCCAAACAAACTCTAAGGACGTCTCCAACCAAACTCTATTTTTGTAGCTGTGAACAATACAATATTGACATTGCACTATTAAGAAACCTTTTTTAATTATAAAATCTTTAAATTTTAATATTTTGATCCCAGATATATTAGTTTAACATATGATATCAATTTTCTAATTTTAATATATTCAATTCTTTATGTAATTAACTTATTTAAATTGGGTTCTTCATTTTAAATAATATAAAATGCAATAGCATCATTAAAATACAACAATAATATAAAAATAAGATAAAATTCACATATAAATTTGAAAGACATCGAATAATAAAAGAACATACATATAAGAATATGATAAAAAAAATATATAAAATAGAGATGAAAAAGAATATGCACATAATATTTATATGTTAGAAATAAAATTCGATTGAGATGAATTAACATTTAATATGACTGTTATTATATTTTGAAGCGAGAGACCTAATTAATTCCTGAAATACCATATAAATGATTTTAAAAAAAAAATCGTTGAATTTGTTAGCTAATCATAAGCTTTGCATTCACTCGACAGCTTTTGAAGAACTGAGAGCCAGAAAACTCAATGAATGGAACTTACTACTGTGAAAGAAAAAGCCCAAGAGGAATGAAATTGGTATCCCCTTGCTGTGAGCTTGCAATCTCAAAGCTCAAAGAATGACTAGCAAAACTCCATAGGAGTATAGGAGCCTCGCCTTAACCTATTGGTTGAAAGCTTAAACTTCTAAGATGCCACTGATTCAAAAATTTATACATAAATTTGTCCTCTTTTTTTTTCGAGAACTAAGAGACAATGCCCAGACTTACATACGCATGACTCATCTTCTTGGTTGATAGTCAAAATATCAAACTAATAGGCCAAAGAGAGCTGTGTTACATACATTTGTGAATTTACTTATTATTGGCCTCATATAATTCAAAAAATAAAAAAATAAAAACTAATAGTTGAATGATGATTGATGAATGTATGTGTCCAATTTAATGGCAAAGAAAGGTGACTGTTGATCATATGAAGGTTATGGATGAAGTTCATAGTTCATTGGGTGTACGTATGTTATAGAGTTTTTTATGATTTGAATCAATATTTAATGAGGGATTCATTAAAGAAAAAAGAAGAAAAATTAAGGATAAAGGCTTCACAGAATATAACAAATTAGAAACCAGATAACATGGGCATTTGGAAAATGAAATCATAGCTACAACAACAACCACTACATTCACCACATCCTCAAACCAGCACTGAGGTAACAAAAAAATCATCAGGCTATTGAGTATGCACAGCTAAACTTTGATTTCTTGAACAAAAACCCAGCCTTTGGCAAGGTTTTCTGTGCTAAAATTGCAGCATTAGCAATCTTAGAATTCATGAAAACCATTAAGAAACAAAAGAAAGAAAATAACCCACAGAAAACAACACAAAAAGACGCACATAGTAGACAAATAAACGGTATTGTCAAATGTACAAGAGGAGCTTCACCTCACCCGGCAAGCAGCCACAGCACCTGGAGAAGAACACTTCGCAGCTGGAATCGGTCGGCATCCCATGCTGGTAGCTGCAAGCCTTCTGTTCATCCGGCAGTCAGGGACTCCATTTGCTCCAATGCTCTCCTGCAGTGGTTCCAATGTCTCCACAACATCGCTCATAAGAGGTCTTGCTTTCGGGTTCTGGCTCAGGCAGTAGTAGGCCAGACTGCAAGCTTTCTGTACCGCTCTCATGGAGTGTTGGCCCTCAAGATTCGGATCTACAATCTGGAGCAGCTTCTTCTTGTCATTGAGCCTGGGACGAGCCCAGTCAACAAGGCTCTGCTCCTTGCCAGGCCTGGTCTTGTCTATTGATTTCTGGCCAGTTAAAAGCTCAAGAAGGACTACTCCAAAGCTGTAGACATCACTCCTTGAGGTCAAATGACCTGTTAAGAGATTTTTTTTTCCGAATAGTGTATCAGAGAAGCCCATAAAATCGCATGGACGAGTGAAATAAGGTTTGGTAGAAAAAAAGCACTAATGTTACAGTATAGTTTCAGGAACCAATATGGGAAGCCAAACACTTTCTTACTTTGGTACAGTAATTCTCCTACCCTCACAATGGCATAGCTGAGAGCTTCAATGGCTCACAGTTGATTGAGGTTTCCTTCATCATAGCAGGCTTTTTATAATTACCACCTAAGTAAAGTAGGGTTGGAAATAACTGTTCTTATTGTACAAAATTATGCTCAGAAGATGCCATCTACAAGGAGAGGAGAGGAGAGGGAAGGGATTTGGGCTTGGGGGGGTGGGGTACGGTGTTGTTTGTAAATAAAGAGTGACGAGAAGACTTCATTATGTAAATAGCTGCATCATCTTCTAACCATCTTAATTAGCACAGCTTAAAGTGTTCAATGTTCAGTTTGAGAGGGAGCCCAAAATGAGGTTTAGCACCACAAACCAATATTCTATAGATACCGAAAAGTAACAAATAAGACAATTCCAAAGGGTTATCAAAAGGCTTTTGGTACCCGGATATGTTCCAAAGGATCAATTCATGTATTAGAAAAAATAAAAAAAGAATAGGTTATTAATGAGTCTACTATTAAGTACTTTATGATAGAGCAACAATATCCATCATTGATAGATAAAAAATAAAATTATATATATATATATATATATCCATCATTGACATTATAATGGTCCTTCATGAGAAATCAATGTAGATGTACTGGAAGTTTGAGAGGTTATTTAGGGGCCCTTGAATAGCACCTTTGTGCCTCATTTATTAATTAGCTCATTCTCTCTTTTATAAGTAATATTTTCGTTTTAGGGGGGGGCGGGGGTTCACAATTTGCAGAAGAGTTGAATATTGGACAACATAAAAGCTAGTTAAAATGCTTCAAATCCCCAACTCTGCTAAGGGATTTTATTTGGCCAAATTCACAGAAATCTCAGAGTCCTTCATAACAAATTTGTAAATTTCAACAAGTTGTGCATAATTTGCAGAAGAGTTGAATATTGGTCAAGATAAAAGCCAGATAAAATGCTTCAAATCCCCAACTCTACTACTTCAAGATTTTGTTTGGCCAAATTCATGAAAATCCCCCAAAGTCCTTCATGGCAAACTGTAAATTTCTTGGGACTCATTTGTTTGCATCGAGCTAGAAATCATACTTTGGATATGGATTCGGATCATTAAATCCACCAATTGGTTAGATCTAGCTGGACATTAACATGATTTCAAACTCCACAAACTTTCTCATAACTCTCTTGGACATTTCTTAACAATATCGATTCAGGAAACTAATGATATTTCTTTTTATGAGATCATTATTTTTTATTACATCCAGCCAACAATGGTTTGTAGCAAAACTTTATTCTTTCTAAAATGCATACCTATCTACAAGAAATCAAATGGGCCCTAAGACTATTTCTCAAGGTAACCTCACTTTCAATGGCCATAGAGACTACAACAACCATCGATTCCTTAGAATCTTTTCTTATGTTCTTGAAGCCACCAATGACCCCTAATTTAACTATTACCATCTCCCTCTCTTGTAACCTCATAAACTTTCTAAATTTCTCTAGGGATTCCGAAGATCAAGCTTTGGATAGACAGAAAGTTCATATTTGATAGGAACACAATGGATGGGGCAAGCTAATTACTTTCTTGTCCTTTTTTCACTTTTATTTGCATGAATAGATGTTTGGCATAAATGTTAAAAAAAATAGTTTTACGGGTAACAAATGATTCCTATTATTTATAGGTCATTAAATTTATTAGGTTGTTGTTAGGTTATTAGGTGCTTTTGTAGCCTATAAATACTCCTCAAGTGGTAATAATATGGCTATACAAAATATAAATGAAACAAGCTTTGGTGGTTGCTCCGTTTCTCTTAATTAAATAGAGTTGTATGCATCTTCAAATTTTCCTAGTAGACCCTTTTCCCTCAATTAGCTATAATTTTAGGCATCCTCGAACTGCCTATTTATTTTATTTTATTTTATTTTATTTTATTTTTATTTTTGGGTATTTTTTACAATTTTACATGCTTACTCGTAACAAATGGTGCTTCATTGAGCCTTGCAATCATTTGGTGTCTTCTACATCTCCATCCCAACCCACTGCGGTCCCAGATCTGCATTGGCAATCAGCACATACCATAGCCTCTAGGTGAGTCTCACCCATAGCAGTTTAGATCTACTCACACCCAATATCGTTGTTGCCAACAATCTAGTCATATATAAGTTGACGTTGCCGCCTCTTTTATATCTGACTATCTCAGAACCATTCAACATCAACAATCCTTTATCTCACTATGGGGTTGGCTACAAGAATCTTTTTTATCCATTGTATCCTTTTTAAGAGTCAAATTCACATTTAAATCTAATAAAAAATGTCATTTTAATTACTTTCTAATCAAGTCTTTTTAGAACTACCACTAACTTTCTTAACATAGATGGGATCTAATACATCTACTCTCCTAACAAGGTCATCGGAATGCCGAATTTTATAATTAATTACTTTCTTATAAGAAAAATAAATCATTAAGAATACAAAGATTGTTTTAAGTCATTCCGAAAAATAGATCTCTAAGAAAATGAGGGGCGCACCTCAGAAGAGCACAAGGTGAGCAATTATCCACCCTGAAAATTTTTCCCTAGTAGAATCTATATATTAATTATCTCACCTCGGTCCATAAAAACATTTGCCTAAATTCTTTTCTATTTCACTTTTAATTTTCTACAAGTCAATCATATTTTTGCTCATCCTAAAAAAAGAGACCAGTTCCGCCCCTAAAGACAGATCAATGCACGTCATAAAAGCTGTTTGAAGAGCTTATTTAACAACTTCATACTAACGTTTATGTTATAATTTCTCCAAGTCTAAACAAGTTTGCGTTTTAAGTTTCATTTTTCATAAGCAAGTTGAGCTTGAGCAGTAACAACTCTAATAAAGCCTAATATTGCATCGAGTTTTTGTGGTAGGTAGGAATAAATGTTGAACATGAAGTTCGCAAGGCTCAACTTAGCTTACTAACAATACTAAAGAATTGTCTGAAGGTTTGAAAAACTAACATAACGACCTGAAAACTACATTGATCACATACTGTACAAAAGGCCACAAACATAGAAGAAGCCATGCAGCATAAAATATTGAACACAGACTGAACTGAAGCTAATGAATTTTGTAAGGAGAGAAATTTTTTTCAGAAGAAGCTAATACCGGTCATGACATATTCTGGAGCAGCATATCCATAGGTGCCCATAACCCGTGTTGAGACATGGGTCTCATCACCTTGTGGCCCTGCTTTTGCAAGACCAAAATCAGATAGCTTGGCTGTAAAATCCTGAAAATTTAAAAAAGAAACCAAGTTAAGATAGTGAACTAGTATTATCTTGCAAAATACATATATCTGTCAAGAACTAGTAAATGAATAGAAACAAACAAAGATCTACACTTAACAGAGTCCAATAATATATTTGAGGTCTTAAAATCCCGGTAGATGACAGGTTTTTCTGCGTTGTGAAGGAAAGCAAGCCCTTTGGCAGCACCTAGTGCAATCATCATTCTTGTTGCCCAAGATAATGGAGTAGTTGTCTCTAAAGTCAGAAGCAAGGATTAGACAGGTCAGTAAAAATTTGTTAACAGAGAACAAGTGAGAGCCTGACAAGATCCAAATAATTAATGTAGTGTAGACAAAGAATACAAGAAACCTATGTTAAGGTCTGTTGTTCAACTGATACGAATTTTTAATTAATTAATCACAACAAGCACAGTACATGAAGCAGTGTCTCATAAGTACTATTTAATAAGAGAAATCATAGAGTCATTAAAAGTATGTAATTAAAAGTAAATTTTAAAAAGAATGGATATTATTTAGGTCCCTCAGGTTTGAGCCACACTTCATCAAGTTTACAATTTTAAAAACCCTCCATTTTGGTCCTAGTTCCTTCGGAGATTTGCCATTGCTCCCAGCTTGGTTTCCAATCTTCAAAGAGGAATAATTCTAATTTAGTTGATGAAGTATTTTTTTGCTAAAATTTGAATAAAAGTAAACTTTTATAACAAAAAATGCCTCATCCTATGCTATGGGTTAACTCAGGCAATAGGGGATCAAACATGTTCAATATCTAACCTAGTAGCTTTGTCCACACCAAGAATATCATGAACATTCAACACCATCATCGATGCCCTCTTCTAGCACCTATTTAGCTTCACCTTCGACCTCAAGTCCCCATCTCAAGGATTCATTGGCTACCACTTTTTCGCCCTCAAATCCATCCATAAGTATAAGAGCGACAAAAAACTTTTGCTATGTATTTTTTAAACAAACATTGTTGTTGCCAGGTCTCAAGCCTTTGATGAAAAAAATAGAAGATTATGTTAGGTAGCCAACGGTCAACGTAAAACTAATCGAATAATCATGACATGAATCCTTTAATATATTGTGTTAATGCTAGGGTGTTCTCTAGAGGCAACGAATTGTATGAACTGAATACAAAGAGAAGTGTGCAAGGGCGGTTGCACCGATGCCCAGGTGTAGTGTTAAATAAGCAAGGATTTCCACTTCATGGATGAATGTGGGCAAATAAGCTAGTCCATAAAACTATAATTAAGGTAGAAACTTGAAACATAAGTTCTATTGCAGACAAATTAATGAAATTAATAGATATTATGACTTATAGGAAGATAAATATACTATGCATTCAGGAAACCAAATGGGCTGGAAAGAAGGCTAACGAGATTAATACTTTAGAATTTAAACTATGGTATTCATATAGAAGTTGTAAGAGAAATAATGTAGGTGTGATAATAGATAAAAGTCTGATGAATAATGTTGTAGAATTTAATAAAATTGGATATCGAATTATAACTTTAAAAATTATTGCTAATGCTAAATTATTAACATTATAAATGTTTATGCTTCTCAAGTAGGCTTGTATATGTGTTTTAAAATTTTAGAATAACTTAGATGAATTAATACAAATGATATATCTTAAAGAAAGAGTTTTATTAGAGGTAATTTAAATGGACATATTAGTAGAGTGGAAGAAGATTTCAAAAATATTCATTGTGATTATGAGTTTGGCGCAAATAATGAAGATGGTAGGACTATATTAGATTTTGCACTAGCTTATGATTTATAATTGTTAATATCTTATTTAAGAAAAGAGAGAAGCATCTCATGACTTTATATGAAAAGATGTAGTAAAACTCATATTGATTTTTTTTCTTATAAGAAAAATATATCGTTAATATTACAAATATTATAAAGTTACTTCGAATAAAAGTTTATGTACTCAACATCGATTATTAGTTTTGAACTTTAAGATAAACAGACAGAATATGAAAAATAAAGTAAAATATTATCCTAGAAATAGATATGGGTGTTTCCATAATACTAATAAAAATATTTTGAGTAAAATTCAAATCTTAAAATTTTGTTTGTGCGTGAGAAAGCTAATATTACGTGAAAAAAGTAGTTAATTGTATAAGAATGCTACAAATTATATGTGCTTGAAGTATCAAAAGGAAAAGCTCCTAATAGTAAAAATTGTTGATGATGGAATTAAAATGTATAAGAAAAAAAAAATGAAGATTTATTATAAAAGTTGGTTTAGATATAAAAGCTCTAAATTGAAAAAAATATAAAGCGGACCATAAGAAGTATGAGAGAGTAATATGCAATGGAAAAGATTTAACTTCTAATTATTTAAATAATAAATTAGACATGAAGGAAGGTGATAGATATATGTATAAATTAATCAAGCATAAATATAGAAAAAGTAAGGATTTAGTTCAAGTAAAGTGTTTTAAAGAAGAAAATAAAAAAGGTTTTTTTATTATAAGAGAATATTCAATATAGTTGGATGAGATATTTCGATAAGCTTTACAATGGAGATTGTGAGAATATGAATGGCTTTAGTGACCTTAGCATCCTAAATGAAAATGGAGATTTTTTTTTTTTTTATCATCGTATTAGTAAAGCCAAAGTTAGAGAGACTTTAAAAAAATGAAGTGTGAAAAAGCTATTGGATTTAACAATATTATAATAGAGTTGTGAAAATGCTCAGGGGATAAAGGAATTTCTTGGCTTACAAAATGATAGGAAACACTTGGATTTCCAAGTGTTTCTCACCAAAACCAAGTAGATCCAATGTAAAATTGCTGTCCACAGCAGAAAACAGCCAAAAACAGTAGGAAAGCAGGAAAAACTGCAGAAAAATCCGAGAAAAGACTTGTATTTTACTAGTAGTTGCAAGGAAATAGCAAAGATACAATTGATCCTCAATTCGAGAGGAGGATCGATCTCTCCCAAATCTCTAGACACCGCTAGAGCCCAAAGAAATCCTAAATCTACGAGATCTCAAATTTCAGCCAAATTCAAGATACCCAAACCCTAGAAAAAAACATCTATTTAATGCATACAAATCAAAAGGAATTCCCTAAACAGTCCCTACATTCAAATTTCTCTCTGAAACCCCCCAAAAATCCTTCCTAAAACGCTCTATATGAGCGGTCGGCCGCTCGTTCTGGCGGAAATATCCGCCTATTCTGCGATCCCGCCCGTGAACCGGTCCCATCTGGACCGGCTGGACCGGTCCAGTGGATCGGTCTAACACAAAACTTTAAGGAGTTAATAATGTTTATATGCAAATCATTAAGGATATTTATGCAGGAGTTGCTACATGTGTTCAGACACAAGGTTTGACCAAGTTTTTCTATTTCTATTAGATTACATCAAGGATTAGCTTTAAGCCCATATCATTTTGCTTTAGTCATGGATGTTTTGCAAGGGATGTACACTGGTGTATGCTTTTTGCTAATGAAGTTCTTCTTTTTGATAAGGCTAGACAGGGAGTTGAAGAAAAACTTGAATTATGGAGGTCAACCTTAGTCTAAATGTTTTCATTTAAAATCTTCAAAATCAAATACATAGAGTATAATTTTAGCAGTAATAGATCTAGTGAAGAGTTTGTGACTTTGGGCGATTAAATCATTAAAAAGAGCACACATTTTAGTATCTCGAGTCTATTGTTCAAAGTGATGGTAAAATAGATAGGAATATTATTAGTAGAATTCAGGTTGGCTAGTGGAAGTGAAGGAATGCATTGGGTTCGTCATGCAAATAGAAAATTATCTCTCAAACTTAAGGGAAAATTTTATAAGATAGTGGTGAGACCTAAAATGATTTAAGATGTAGAATGTTGTCATTAAAAAAGAAACGTAAAATTAAGTTAAGTGTTGCAGAGATGAGGATGCTCAGGTGGATGAGTGGCTACACTCTTAAAGATAGAATGTGAAATGACTATATATGTGAAAAGGTTGGAGTAGCTCGAATGGCGATAAGATTATAAAGAGTCGCCTTAAATGTATTGGTCGCATAAAAATTCATAGCCTTCTGATGACTCGGTTATGAGAGTAGATGTATTAGATTTGACCTATGTTAAGAAAAGTAGAGGTAGACCTAAAAAGACTTGGTTAGAAAGTATTAAAAATGAGCTTTTTTATTAGATGTAAATGAAAATCTAACTCTTAACATGACACAATGGAGAAAAAGGATTCATGTAGCTAACCCCATATAGTGAGATAAAGGCTTGATGTTGTTGTATATCTTTTTAAACAAGGAAATATTGAATTATATATATATATATATATATTAAGGAAATAATAACATTAGGAAATCCCATAACCACAAGTCACTCAAATCAAAGATGAAGGTATCAAATAGAATAAGTTACGAACATCCAAGGAATTGATTCAAGCAAGTGATGGATCAAGGAACCAAACAAAAATCCTCGGCCGTTGAAGGATAGGAAATACCTAGGGAAGCCACAATTAGCTAACAACGAATCATAATATTCATAAACAAAATAGTGAATCAAATCATATCAGAGGAGTTCAAAAACTTCAGCAAACATAACTAATTCTCAAAGGGAACATATAAGTAGACTAGAAGCTGAAAAAAAAATTTTGCCCAAGCTCGACCAAGCTAATGCTTGAGATGAATAGACGAGTGGTGCCATGATTTTGGTCAGGTAAAGCCAAGCTGGCTTGGTTCAAATCAACTAAAATACACTTAAACTTCATGGCCTTACTAGGGCCAGGAAGATATATTCATGCTTAAGCCCAACTTGAGAAATTTTTTTAGAAATAAAAAAATCAAGTTGAGTCAACTTTAAGTGTTAACATAAAATGTTGTGCCCAAACTTAAATTTATCAGGTCATAGGTCTAATCATAGGTATGAAATAAATTAGTTTTTTCATATCCATGATTAGTAAATATCATAGAAAGAATTCAACAATAGCCCCTTATACGAGAATTCATTAGCACATAACTATTAAATTTGCACATAAAATTAATGTGTTGAAGCTAGATCAAAAGCTTGTTAGATCACAATCATGGCGTTTCTCTATCATAGATTTGAATGAATAAAACAAGCTCTAGATGATGGATTTATCCATCATAGATCTCTCGTGTTGCGCTTAGACCCTTTAAATTTAAGCTGCATGACCTAAAATACCCAACATAACTAGTAAATCAAAGAACAACATTGGAAACTCTTACTATGGCCAATCAACTCCTATTTATAGGTTT